TTGCGTTCTAAAAAAAAGGACTAATTAAAAAAATTAAATTAGAGGCCATTATAAATTTTGTTCGCTATTTACACCCATACTTTTTTTTTCCCCCGTGGAGATCTGGGAAGGCATCCAGGTTTTTTAAAACTGGCCATATTCACTATTTTAAAAATGAATGCGTTGTCATATTCATGTAGATTAATTACCATATTAATAATTATCACCCGAAACTTTTGTAGTTGATATATGCGTATGTAATTTCATGTAGCATTTCACGTGAAACCGGATAAAATTTTGTCTGTTGTTTCACGTGATATCGGTACAAACTTTGTCGGTTATTTCACGTGAAATTTCTGTAACTGATATATGCATGTGTAACTTTCACATGAAGCTTTAGTAACTCATATATGAATGTGTAATCCTATGTCATTTCACGTGAAACTTCTGTAACTGATATATATGCATGTATAATTTCCTCTGTCATGTCACGTGAAATAGATGAAAACTTTGTCTGTCATTTCATGTGAAACTTCTGTAACTGATATATGCATGTGTAATTTTCACGTGAAGCTTTAGTAACTGATATATGCATGAGCAAATTCCTTTATCATTTCATGTGAAACCAATGAACACTGTCTGTCATTTCACATTAAACTTTTGTAACTGATATATGCATGTGTAATTTTCCATGTCATTTTACGTGAAACCAGTGAACATTTTGTCTGTCATTTCACGTAAAATTTCTGTAACTGATATATGTATATGTAATTTTCTTTTGTCATTTCACATGAAACTGATGAACACTTTCTATGTCATTTCACGTGAACATTTTGTCTATGACTAAACCAACTTCTTTGCTAACACCAACTTTAACACTCAAGTTTTCTATAAAATGCCTCACAAACCTTCACCATAATACATGAAGTACATCATACATTCTTCACACTCATTTTGCGCACGTAAACCTTAGAAACACTTATACATTGTAGGAATGAGTGTCATGAGAGAACAAAGCACGAGAGAGCTCCATCGTGATGCAGCCAAAGGAACCCTTGGCCTCAAAAAGCTTACCAACCTGGAACCCGATTACAATGGCTGGAACCCGATTGTATGTTTTGATCAAATCATGGAGCTGGTTGGTGGCTACTACAAAAGTTATGTGCCCTTTTGAGTTTCAGGAAGTATGCGCAAGGGTTGTTGTTGCCTACACCCAAAAGCTTAAGGTGTTAAGTCTAACGGGTAAACGGTTCACTCTATATATATCTTTAGAGAGGACTCTGAGCATCCCGACTACTCTTATATATGCGAACAACTTGGCGAGTCAATCACGGCACAAGCCTCGTGGTTGCAGAAGTTTCTTCTGTGTCCAACACTGATGTGTGATATGTCTGAGGATGAACTAACTGCTGATAAAGATGTGTTCAGGTGGTTGGATTTGACGAAGAAATTTGGCGCAAGGAAACAAGATAAGTTCGCTTTCATATTGATAGACAATATGAGGATCACACATGCTTGCATGGTTCAAATAATTAATGAGCTAATTTCTGAGTAGGATGGAGGATTTGGAAGTGCTAAATATCGCTCACTGTACCTTTATAGAGGACTCTGAGCATCCCGGCTACTCTTATATATGCGAACAACTTGGCGAGTCAATCACTGCAGAAGCTTCATGGCTCCAGTAAGTTTCTTCTGTGTCCAACATTGATATGTGATATGTGTGAGGATGGGGTAGCTGCTGATGAAGATGTGTTCAGGTGGTATAGATTTGACGATGAAATTTGGAGCAAGGACAAGATAAGTACGCTTGCATTTTGATCGACCTTTTGAGAGGCACACAGTGCTTGCATGGTTCAACTAATTAATGAGACTGTAAAAATTTCTGAGCTCTGGATCTGGGGGACATCCTGTAAATGAAGATTGCTTTTATAGAAAAATTTATTTTTCATGCTGCAGTTAGGTTGTGATTAGTCTGAATATTTTCTATCGGAAAGTTAATGAATGAGTTCATGGATACTTTTAGGGTAATGCTATCTACACAGTCATTTTTATTTTTCACAAACTTCTCGAATTTTGACCGTCGGATCAGATGAATTGTAGAATATCAATGGTCAAAATTTAACAAGAGTGTCTGAAAGTAAAAATGGGTGTATGAATATCTTGCTTTTGACATACTACGAGGGATAAAGTAAGGGGTGTATTTTATATAGAGTTTAATAAATTTCCATAGAGTTATAAATACATGGATTTTAAGGGAGTTTATTTGATTTCTATAGAATCCATGTGGATTTTGATTAAATTCTACATTAATTTTAATGAAGTTTATGAAACTTTTATCATGGATTTAAATAGAGTCCTATTAATTGTCATGAATATTTTAATGGCTAATTCCTCAATATACATTGTTATTTTTAATTTTTTTTTTTTTTATCATTTGAAATGGTTATTATGACCATGATAAAGCAGTCGTATAAATCGGTGATATCAATGATGTGGTTGAAGTGTCACGTGGTAATTGTTGGCAAAATAGTGATAGTAAATGTGACTGTGGGCAAGTGTAGCATGAACATTTTAATCTTATTTCTCATGAATCATTATCTCTTTGTAAACCAATGTGAGAAGAAATTCTATGATTCGGAAGCTGGACAACGTAATTTCTCCGACCAAAGACACATAAAACACGACATCCTCCCCCTGATTTTGAGGCCCACTACATTCCCTCCCTCACACCCACCAAACTCTAGTTCCGTACGTGCACAAGAACCTTTCCAGCGTGGGACAATATTATTGGCTTTGTGGGCCCATATGACAAATCATCCAACTAACAAAATAACTGCGGTAACAACATTAGATGGTAAGAGCAACTGTAATGAGTAAGTCAATATAAAGGACGAATTAGATGAGTTTGAAACATAAATGATTAACTAATGACTTCACAATATTTCCAACATAAAAATTGAAAGAAAAACTGTTAAAAGGGGTGGCCCTGTGGGGAAATAGGAAACACATTATTCGAAACTAATTTTTTACCACAAATTCATTCGTGTGACAGTTTGTTCAATTACATTTTATTTTTTACCTGTAACTTTTTATTCTTTTTAGTTTTGTTTAAAATATTTTAGGGGTTGATTCCACTAACACCCCTTGAGATTTATCGAGTTTTCACAAAACCCCCTCACGTTTGAGACATTACACAAACACCCCCTCAGGTTTTAATTCCCTTTCATATAACCCCTTCAGTCAAAATTTTCCTTATAAATTTACTAATTTACCCTTATTAATTACTTAAAACTAATAGAAAAACTTTATAATTGTATAAAATAAATTATAAGTCATTAAACACTTTAAAAAGGACAAGAAGAAGACCACGTTGACAAAAACAAAATTAAGAAAAGAAATTTATTTATTACTTTAAAAATAATATTTTATTAAAAAAAAGTGTTCATCTTCTTCTTTCCCTCCCACCCCATCTCCTCCCTTCTCCATCACCACCACCCATTCAACTTTTGAACAAAACAAAAAAAGGATCTCTCCATCTCCGACATTGTGTAAAAATTTTATAATTTTACACAAAGAAAATCGAGATTAGCAATAATAATTAAGAAAATATTAGTCCTGCAAATATTATGTGGTTGACACACGGACATCGACGACGTGAAAAAAAAACACTGTACAAGATCAATGAAGTAGCTGAAGTCATAAGAGCGAACAAATTGAACCGGCAGTATTTGCGGGGACATGTAACCTCTCTTACAATCACTCTAAACTTCTCGTTTCTTCCGAACAAAAAACCCTAATGAACAAAATCCAATCCCACAGGATGACACAATGGACAACGATAGATTCGATTGTCGTCTATTTTTTAATAAAATATTATTTTTAAAGTAATACTGAAATTTTTTCAAAGAAGACCATCTCTTTCTTCTTCCTCTGTTTAAAATTTTCGATACACAACTTCTGGTCCATGGTTTTTTTCTGGCACCCTAAAGGACAACTCAATTTGCTGGTTTTTTTTTTTTGCTCAATTTTTGCCCTAATTTTTGGTCCATTGAGATTAGGCAATTCCAAAGTCATCTTTTTGAACCCTAATAATGAAAAAATAAATTTATTTATCCCCTCCAAAATTAAGTTGAATGGCTGTTTGCTTTATGATCATCTATTTTTTAATAAACTATTATTTTCAAAGAATTAATTAAATTTTTTTCTTAGTTTGTTTTCGTCCAATGGTGTTCTACTTGTCTTTTTTTTTTTAAGTGATGACTTATAATTTATTTTATACAATTATAAAGTTTTTTTATTAAATTAGTAAAGGGTAAATTAGTAAATCTATAAGCAAAATTTTGATTGAAGGGGTTATATGAAAGAGAATTAAAACCTGATGGGGTTTTGTGAAAACTCGATAAACTTCAGGAGGTGTTAGTGTAATTAACCAAATATTTTAGAGTAAATTGTAACAATATTCCTTTAACTTTCACCAAATTGGAGCAATAATCTATCAACCAAATCTATTACCAATGGTCCCTCAATTAATCAAAATGTACAGCTATAATCATTTTCGTTAATTCTTTTAGAATTTCCATCTAAATGGGTCACATGTCATGCATGTAAGGCTTAATCAAAGGGCAAATATGAAAAATCAAATAAGAAAAATTGTATTGATGATCCCACAACTTTAATCCAACTGGATAAATGGTCATTCGACTTTAACTCAATTGGAGTAATGATCCCTCAACTTTACCCCAATTGTAGCAATAGTTCTTTCAATATAACTCATTTTGATAGAATTTTGACGAATTTGATAAAAATGACCATAGCTACACATTTTGATAAACTGAGGCTAATAGTAATGAATTTTTAATTGAGAAAATATTGTTTCAATTTAATTAAATTTGAAAAACTATTGCTACAATTTACTCAATAGTTTATGTTTCATCATCTTGTACGTATTTTACGTACATCTAAAATTCTTAATGATTAAGAATGCGATTCAGTTAGGACTTAAAGCCAGAAAATTCCTTTAAAGTACGACTTTACCTCACACTTGTTTCTCCTACTTCTCCATTAAGCAACTCTCTCTTCACATATCACACGACAGAAGACAAACCAAAACACCATGGAAACACACGTCGACGAGATCGACAACCTGGACACCACTTCGTGGACCTCCGCCACAACCGGGACAGTTGCAGGTGGTTCCCTCACGAATTGCGTCTCTTTCGAATCCTCCTCCTCTCCGATCGACGACGACACTCCGAATTCCACACCTACATCCACTCTTATTCTGCACCCTCCGTCACCCGATTCGGGCCCTTGCGAGATCACCAGTAAGCTCCACAACTTCTCTTTTCCGAAAACTTTACATTTCGGCCCCAAATTTTATTGAATTTGAGGTTTGACATATATATATATATATCCTGGTCCTTTTATGTATTATTTATTATTGTACGTTAGGACTTAAAAGTTAATAATTTCTGGGACTAAGTTTTCATGCTGTGAATGGCAGTTGATTAGGATTAGGATTATTGCCAAATTTTAGATGAAAACGAAGCTAAATAGAGGGGCAATCTACGATGCATGGACATGGGGATACCTTAATCCACAAGATATACGACAGGACACGGGATATGAGGGGATACCACCATGTCCATGCATCGGAGGGGGCAATCTTGTACTCGAAAACGAGGATAAAAACAGGATTTTGCAGTGTGTTCAACTACGAATATTTACGAAAGACGACACTTGGTTGCTAAAAGTAGAAGTAATATCTGTTGCAGCTCAAAGTGTTACTAAGGGTTCTGTTAAGAGTTGGGTATCTAAAGTGCATTTGACCAACAACGTTTTCCACTGTAGTTAATTTCACACAAAAGCATGAGATCCAGCAGGTTTGTGATCGAAGTACTGCCCGAGTATATACGATAGACTGTGCACCTGATATGCAGAGTGGCAATGAACATCTCTGCACTGTTCGCCGTGGCGTTGCTGCCCGAGATGAACAAGTGCTACACACAGGTGATAATGATAAAGTTTGTCCTGCAAATTCAAATGAGTCGCTTAGGTACCCATCCGAAGCTAAGTCAAGAAATGGAAATAGCCCGAACAACAGTGAAGATGACTGTGTTGAAGTGAAAGTCTTAGATACTAATGTGCTTGATAAAAAAATCAATTCATCGCAATTGAAGTTGGGATCTGCACAGGTATGTTGCTTAGTTCTCCATGTATATTAATTCCAGTGAACCCCCTCCCACTTTTGCTTTTCTTTCGCTTCTTTTTTCCCCGTCTAGTTAATATCTTTGTATGGTTCTTGCTGATCAAGTCCTTGTGTATCAGGATTTTTATGAATCTACAGCACAGACTAGTGATGCAAGTCCTTGTGTATCCCTCACACTTCGTCTACTGTCGCTTGGGAGTTCTCTCATGGCCATGCTTGTGCCTACCCTTTTGCAATTCTGTAAAACAAGGGGTGCTAACCGAACACAGGACAAGCCAATTTCTGATACATGGGGAAAACAGAACTCTCTAGCGACTGTGTCAAAAGAAACCGATTCTACCAGTGTTGCAACTAAGATTCAGGAACAACGAAAAGCCAGCATACCTGATCACCAAGAAGTAAAGATTCCAGATTTTAATAAGGCTAGTACTAGTACTGCCCGGGTATGTATCCCGTCAAGAGTTGAAAGCGCCGTGGACCAGCTTTATTCTCGAATGGGCAGAATTGAGGATCTGTTTTTGAGGTTTGAAGAAAAGATGCTAAAACCGATAAGCAGCATTGAGGCAAGGCTTGAAAGGGTAGAGCAGCAACTTGAAGTACTGGCGAACAAATCACCGTTGCGAGGCAACATGCGCAAGATTCTATGCTTCTTCTTTCTCATGCAATGAGTCTGAGTCTAACTCTTGCTATAATAGTGGAAATGATTATCACCGTTGCGAGGCATTTGAATCAGGTGAGAAGGACATTCAACCAGACGCACCCCCGACCACAGCTTATGAAATGTCTGCTTCGGTAAATTCCACCCATTTGCTTCCAAGTCTGGTAGTAACTGCTTCTGAATTTTTAAATGGTGATGATGACGAGGACGAAGAAGATCACGGATCAGATGTTGTGATAGGTTCATCAGAAAAACCAAGGCCTGCTTGGACAATAGATGATGCTTTAGCATCTGCACTAGCTGGCATGTCTTTGACTTCAACCCAGCCAGAGAAACATGCTCAAACTCTTTCGGGTAAAGCTCCTGATTTTTTAATTGAAGAAGACGGTAGCGTTGAGAGAAAGGGATCGACAAGAGAGGAACATGAAGTAGGCACGGATTCTTCCATGTGCCTTGGTGAAACTGATGCGACAGAGAACATAAACGTTGGAATATAAGTTTTTGTGCTAGAGAAATATTAGTTTAAGTCTTAGTATTTCAAGTTTAAATGTGCTATTGGATTATATTCTAATTGGACAGCTGAGATGTAATCTTAGTGTTAGTAATGTGTATTGCCACTTGTAGCTATCTTATAGGGTAGATTACATGAATGGTGGAGATTGAACTTTGTGAGAGAGAATCCCTCTCTCTTCCCAACGGTATTACTCTCGCCCATGTCTTGTGTGCTGAGTGAAAAAAGATGAATGAAAGTATCCTTCTGTGAATATTCTTTCTGCAACTCTCTGAGATTTCTCCAGAAACCTTCATCTTCATTTTCGATTCATTCCTTACAATAGAGATCATAGTCTCTAGATTCTAACATGGCCTCAGAGCCTGGTTTGGTCGCTTAACATTGGGCTATTAAATCTGTGAAGGAATTTGAAGAAATTGCTTGTGAGATATGTGTCTAACATGGCAGGGTCTAGAGGTGGTGAGCGGAGAGCGCCGATATTCAATGGCGAGAATTATGAGTTCTGGAGCATAAGGATGAAGACTATCTTCAAGTCTCATGAATTATGGGAGTTTGTTGAAAAAGGAGTAGAGTGCTCAGATTCGAAGGGAGCTGATGAATCTGATGCAAAGAAGAAGGAGAAGGAGGAATCGGGTGATGCTGCAACTCTCACGGAGAAGCTTATGAAAGATGCCAAGGCGTTGGGGCTAATTCAAGGAGCAGTTTCCGATGAGATTTTCCCTCGGATCTTTCATGAAGAAACCTCTAAGGGAGCTTGGGATATCTCGATGCAAGAATTCCATGGCAACAAACATGTTAGAAGTGTCAAATTACAAGGTCTTCGTAGAGAATTCGAACATACCAGAATGAGAGATGATGAGTCTTTGCCTATTCATCTTACAAAATTGTTTGATCTGATAAATCAAATGAGAAGTTATGGAGAGGAATTGTCTAGAGAGAGAATTGTGCAGAAAAATGTTGATTAGTTTACCTTCTACGTATGATCCTATATGCTCTGTGATTGAACACTCAAGGGATATAGAAGTGATTGAGGTTCAAGAGGTGGTTGCCTCATTAAAAAGTTTTGCACAAAGATTGGAGAGACATAATGAGAACAAGACTGAGAGAGCATTTGCAAGTCTAAGTGTGAATTCTAAACCTGCCAATTCTTCTGGAAATCAAGGCCATGGATACCAGAATAATTGGAAACCAAAATTTAAAAAGTGGGATCAAAAGATAGAAGGTGGAAGAAACCCTTGCAGGCACTGTGATAAGTACCATTATGGAGAATGTTTTCTTAAAGGCAAACCTAAGTGTCATAGTTATGGGAAAATACGGCATATTGCAAGGGACTGCAACAACAAGAAAAATGTTCAGCAGCTAAACTTTGCAACTCAAGTCCTTCCTACACCATCCATGTTCTATGTAAATAATGCGGTTGACAATAAGTCTATTGAAGATGTATGGTATGTGGACAATGGTTGTAGTAACCACATGACTGGCAGAGAAGATGTACTAGTTGATATTGACAGAAGCATAATTGCAAAAGTAGAAATGGGGACAAGGGTAATTGGTTGAAGTTATTGGAAAATGAAGTCCAGTGGTGGACACTAAGATGGGAATGAGGTATATCAAAGAGGTAATTCTTGTCTCTGGTCTTAAGGAGAATCTACTAAGTGTAGGGCAGATGATGGAGCATGGATACTTTCTGATTTTTGGAGATAATAAGGTTGGAATTTATGATGACTGCTCTCTCTAATCTAATTGCTAAGGTGCCAGTGAAAGGAAACAGAAGTTTTCCTTTGAAACTTTAAACAAATTTAGATTTTGCATTAAGGACAAGTGTGAATAAGTCAACCTTAATCTGGCATAGGAGAATGGGACATCTGAATGTCAATAGTTTGAAGTTGCTACAAGGGAAAGAAATGGTACTTGGGTTGCCAGAAATCAAGAACACCAATGAAGTGTGTGAGGGGTGCATTCTTAGGAAACATTGCAGAGATTCTTTTCCAAGAGAGACAACAAATAGGGCCACTATTCCGCTGGAATTGGTACACTTTAATGTTTGTGGACCAATGCAAATTGTTACAAAGGCTGGAAATAGGTACTTCCTCACCTTCATAAATGATTGCACTCGGATGTGTTGGGTTTACTTCCTAAGATACAACTCTGAGGTGTTCAATGTCTTTAAGAAGTTAAAGGCTATTGTTGAATTGTAATATGGGTATAAGTTGAAGAAACTAAGAAGTGACAGAGGATGAGAGTATACATCCATGGAGTTTAACAAGTTTTGTGAAGAAATGGGAATAGAAAGATAGCTTATTGTGGCATACTTACCACAGCAGAATAGAGTGGCTGAAAGGAAGAACATGACCATTGTGGAGATGGCTAAGTGTATGATGTTTAAGAAGAAGATACCACTGGAGTTTTGGGCTGAAGCAGTGAACACTGCAGTATATGTCTTAAACAGGTGTCCAACTAAAGCCTTGGACAAGAAAACTCCATTTGAAGCCTATAGTGGAAGAAAGCCAGGAATTAAGCATTTGAGAGTGTTTGGTTCTCTATGCTATGCACATATTCCAAAACAACAGAGACAAAAGCTTGATTTGTCTAGCACAAGATGTGTATTTCTGGGGTATGGAAGTTGTGAGAAAGGCTACAAACTGTATAACATTGAATCTGGAAAAGTTGTCATTTCTAGAGATGTAGTGTTCAATGAAGAAGCAAGTTGGGATTGGAGTGCACAAAAAGAATGTCGTGTTTCAGTTCCACTTACTGATATACTTACTAAGAAAGAAAAAAAGACTAGTGAATTAAGTTTGACTCAAGCTGAGATTACAGAAGGTGATAATAAGACACCAGAAAATATTGAAAAAGCACATGATGGAATTGGTTTTGTAGGACATAGTGAAAGTTCAAGTCCACAAGATTTTGATCACTCTCCACTGAAATATAAAAGCATTGCAGAAGTGTATGAAATATGCAATATGTGTATCATTGAGCCTGAAACATTTGAAGAAGCTACCAAGGATGAATCATAACAGAAAACAATAGAGAATGAAATTGCAATGATAAAAAAGAACAATACTTGGGAGTTAGTTAATAGACCATCTGATAAGCCAGTAATTGGTGTCACAAAACCAAGTTGAACCTCGATGGCTCAGTGCAAAAAAACAAAGCAAGACTGGTTGCAAAGGGTTACTCTTAAAAGCCTGGAATAAACCTTTGCACCAGTTGCTAGGCTTGACACAATTAGAACACTGGTTGCATTGGTTGCACATAAAGGGTGGAGACTATTTCAATTAGATGTGAAGTCAACATTTTTTAATGTAGTGTTGCATTAAGAGGTATATGTTGATCAACCCCCTGGATTTGTGATTAAGAACAAGAAGGATGGAGTTTATGAAGGAAAATTTGTGAAAAACATGTTCATTTAAGCAACATCAATAGCATGCAATTAACAATTAAAGGCGGAATCATGCTTGTATGCACTTAAAACAAAACATTTACCCATGAAATTCAAAGCCTAGTAGATAGGTGAACCAAGACTCAACTCAAATGAAAGTGAGTTGAGAAATCAATACCTTTGTAGATTCCTCTTTGCATAAGCAAAGGCTAATCACCCAAAGAGAGGGCCTTCATTCCTTGCATCTTGGATCCATGGATTTGGATGGATGAAAAGGTTTCTCCAAGTTCCCAAAATTGAGAACCTCTAAGTCTCCACACCAAGGTGTATTGTAAAAGACATGAGTGACCTAGAGGAAGTAAGATTGCTAGCTATTCCCCTCTAGATTGGCCGAAATTTTAGAGAGAAAGGAGAGCTTGTGTTCTCATCCTTTCCCCCAAAAATAACCCTTAGTAAATTTTAGGCTATAAAGTCCTTTATATAGTCCCTTCAAATAAGTGACCTAATGGACCAAAAGCCCTATTCTTTTACACATGGCTAGCCTATAGGTTTATTGGGCTTTCAAGCCCTTTGTTTTATTCAAGTTGTCATACAACTTGAGTTAATGGGCTTGACATTCAAATCCCATTGGGCCTTGCGGCCCAAAACTAACCCGAGGTCTTTAACGAACTTATTCGTTTGATTAATTAACATATTAATTAATCCTTGCCATAAATAATTAAACCATTTAATTATTCTTACTCATTTCCGTTGAATCTTCAAACTCTACCTTACACGGTGTACGATCCATTAGGTTCCTTTTAGCGAGGCAGTGGGCGATTCAAACTCTTTCAAATCGATTGTGAATTGAAACTTACTTTCAATTCTCCCGTTAGTGATAATACACTTTTAGGGCTTCCACAAACCATGAGTGACACCTAGCAGCATATCATGGTTACCCAAGCTAATCAGAAGAGGTGGAGAACCTATTCAGTTTAGGATTACAAATGCAATACGGTCTTTCTCTAATACAATACTCTTGACCACATTGTTTGGTTTGATAGTTTATTCATGTCTACTATCCAATGTGAATTTTGTACTTATATGATTACCTTGAATGTGATCTGGAATGCATTCCAACATCTCATTCATACTCTGGCCAGAGATTCTAAATCATATCATAGAGTATTCTCCCTCAAACAGTTTGAAGGTTAGAGATCCCTTGTTGCGCATTCATTTGCCTCCATGGCTAAGTGGCTTAACCCCAACGATGCCGTGGACACCCTGATAGAGTGACGTTGACATAATCAAAGATTAAGGACCTAACCATAAGACAACTGTGATGCCTCAGGTCAAAAGACTAATTTGCATTATCCCAACCATGAGTTCTCATGTGACATGAATATGAGAACTCTTCGTTGATCGTGTTCAGTGAACTCATTCTCTATTGAGCACCTACGTACTTGTCTTGATGTCACACACACCAATGACTCGAGACTAGTCACTCTCCCTGAGAGAAGACATAGCACGTACTGATCTTAACGGACTGTCAATGCCCAATTGACAATCCTATGATCAGGAATGTTTAGGATGTGTCAACGAAAGAATGGTCTCATGAATCTAACTTCTTTAGATCGCATTCTTCCAATCACATATTCCTTGGACTTATCGTTTAAGCATATAACATTTATATTAGACGGCTCAAACAATAATGTTTGCCCTTTTCATTTAAACTACATTAGTTTGAAATGAACTACATTAGTTTGAAATGTCCGTAAAGTATCATCATATGATTGGTTTTAGGGCACATTTCCAACA